TTTAATTATTGGAGTGGTGGTTGGAATGAGACTTATACGCTCGAAAAATTTAATTTGTCTTGGAGAGTAAAACGCTATCAAAAATACGCATTCTTGACGCCAGTCTACTCGTAAGAAGAGCAAAAATAAGCCCGGACGTGCTCCTCACACACGCCAGAATGCTGAGTAAAACTACCGCCAAGTATCCCCTTACGAGAGTCGAAATTAAAACATTCACGCCGGCGTCATTGGGGAATTGATAGACAACGCAATACTCGGACAGCACCAAAACGAATAATAGTCGGCTTTGTCGATAACAAGGCGTTTAACGGTGATAGAAAATTAAACCCATTTAATTTCAAAAATTACGGAATAAATTTCTTTTTGCTGTATGCCGATGGCATGCAAATTTCCAGTAGACCGTTACAACCAAATTTTTCGAAAAACGAGTCGCTCTACGTTGACGCTTATCACACATTATTCTCGGGAACCGGCATTCACTTTCTGAACGAGGGTAATTTTATAAGTAGAGATGATTACGCCAACGACTACACTCTTTTCGCTTTCGATCTTACTCCCGATCTATCCGCTAATTGCGCGGGACATTGGAATCTCGTAAAATATGGAAGCTTAAGATTAGAAGTGAGATTCGAAAAAGCTCTTTCTGTGACTATTAATTGTATCGTCTATGCCGAGTTTGATAACGTTTTAGAAATTGACTCCTCGCGTCAAGTCATTGTCGACTTTTCCGGTTAGTCCTACGGCTTTCGCATGAAAATTATTTTCTCCTCTACTACACATTCTTTCTCATCTAATTGGACGCGAGAATACGAAAAAGCTTTAGTCTTGTTCGCCAACGTCAACGTTTCGTGACGTAAAAAAGGGTAGCGAAAATTCGAATATAATATCATAATGGATATAGTCATCGACATACAAGGTTTTTGCGATGTCGAAGAAAACTTTATTCCGAAAGAAGTCGCGATTAACACAGAGCGATCACCGGACACTGAATTATGACATCACCCTGTCCATTTGAAGATTTATCCGCGAGAGCAAAACGAAAAAAACTGGCTTACACGAAATTATCATGGAATCGAATGGTTCGATGGAGACGTCAATCCAAAAAACTTTACGATACATCTGCGTGACATTACACGATACGCGCGCTACATCTATACCAGAGGACAAGAGAAGGCTCGTTATCTGAGTAATCTATTTTCTAAAAACGTATATAATTTGGAGGGAACTTTTCCGGCTTTCAAAAATGTACTAGATTTCGAAGACCGTGGACAACGCTGCACGCATCACAGATTTCGAACCAGCTTCGAATCACATTGCATCTTACGCAACGCTTACAAATTAAAACGCTGGCTAACTATACGACATAGCAACAATTCAAGTTATGATAACCTTTCCTCAGAAAATTGGAGCGAGATCGTCGTCGAGAGCGAAAAAACCGACAGCGAGAATTCTTAAATTCAATTTAAAAATCAGAAACACGATATCGCACGCAACATTGAAGCGTGGAGAAAAAATATTGCGACGGAAAAAACGAATCAAAGCGCGGACAAACAACTGACAGACGAGGAGAAAAAAGATCTCTCAAAACGACTCGTGGACCAATAGAGATAAAGCTAACACCAACATCTCGCAAGCATCGAGCATTTTAGGGAGCTCCACATTGCATACGCCAGAAAAAAAGTACATTTTGAATTTACGCAAACATTTCCTCTCTCACGCTCTCCGACGACGAGAAATAAATTCTCTGGAAGTTTTAAACGCATTACATCATCTCCGTGTACGACATGCGGGGGTCTATCCTGCCGATCGACTGCCGAGAGTGTGGACGAGGTCGACCGCCATTGTCGCTAACATGGACGATCACGATCGACCTGGGCAGCACTGGGTCGTCTTCTACATCGATGAACATGCGACAGGAACGTATTTCGATAGCTACGGCTTGCCGCCCTTGGATCCAAGATTCCTCTTACGACGAAACTCCACCACGTATCGTTGGAATATATAATACGACAACGCTGCAAGGAATACTTTCTCAAACTTGCGGACAATACTGCTGTATATTTCTAAATTATTTGTGTAATGGCTATAATCTTAATCAGTTTCTTGATCTGTTTACCTCTGATTGTAAGCGAAATGATCGATTGATTGTACAGTTATTTCATAAAATTTTTCTTCATTGTAAACATAAACTCGTAAATTCTCATGCTGTATGCCGTCATGTTCAAACGTGTACTCTTTTAAAAAAATAAAATAACTATTTCATGTAATATCTTTTTTAAATAAACGTTTTTGAACTTGAAAATATTGCCTTGTTTCTTACTTCTACCCCTTCACCTTTATTTACAATAGATACATTTTCCCCCGTATTACAGACTCAGATAATGTACATTATATACATAAAATATAGAAAAAATTTTTTAAAGCAATGGTCGGAGACGACGCGCCGCAACAGCTAAACATGTCCGTTCCTGTTTTACCTCCCCAAAAATTCTTCCGAACAAAGCGGGTCTCTCTCTAGACTCGCAAATTTTCGTATAAGATCTCCTTTTTCATACATTAATAACATTCACTGAACCGCCTACACGTCAGAGATGTTGTCCCGCGATAACAAAAGCGACCATCATAAATTCGACCGCTATTCCCCCGCTGTTCGTACTCTATCCTCGCGACAAAAGAATGCTGCAGTCCCAATCTCCACTCACCATTTTTCAGACCTCCATTTTGTCTAAGGCCCTCTACCACCCACTCTCTCCAATCCCTTTTGGATAGATATGGAGCGAACCAATCAAATCTTGGGCAAGTATAGGATGAACCTATGTTATATAATCAGAACACATTTAATTACCCTATTACTCCCTCTCGCTTCACTCCTCGACCAATCAGAACGCACCCTTTCTCCAGACTGACCCGTCTAGGTCACGCCCACGGCGCTGGAGGGAGACGTGGAGGGGGTTTGTTTTGACGCCCCATGGCTGCCCATATACTACTAATATGTATAAACGTATACATAAACATGTATAAATCTTCATAAATATATACATATATCCAATTATATGTGAAATATATTTATAAATGTTATAAAAGGATAAATGTTATAAAAAGGAGCATACATGCTCCTTTTTTTTGTAAAATTACTTTTTAGTGTAACGAATTAGTTAATAATAAAAAAACACAAACAATAATTAAAAGAACAATTTTCGTATTAGAATTTTTGTTTTAGAAGAAATCAAGTTTGGACAAATATATGTAAAAAAATACTAATATATAATGACATGAAAATTATGTATAATTATATAAGAATAATTTTTTTACATTTCTCTAAACTTCATTTTTTCTAAAACAAACAATGCAAAAATTGTTCCTTTAATTGTTTTCGACATTTTGTCATTATTATTTTTCTTACATTAAACAGTAATTTTATAAAAGAGAGAAGGATGTACAAACATATATAGACATATTTCGTATATAATTATATATGTTTACGAATATTTATTACATATTTATGTGTATACATATTCATATATAGAGTCCCAGAATGATCGCCAAATATTTTGTGTGCTGATAGAGATTAAATTAAGGGGATTAAATTAATTCAAAAAGTCCTATATCATTTTATTTGCAATTTTCGGAATAATTAAGATATTAATTACTGAAGATTACAAAATATTAATTACTAAAAATCGCCGAATATTAGTTTTCAATAATTTTTTACTCAAGTATTATTAGCTTTACAGAACAATAGCAAGAGACAAAAATTGTTTATCTTCTTCTTATAGAGCTCTAAGAATTTTTTCAGAATTTTTTATTAACTTTTCGGTACTGGCAACTAATTTTAACGACATAACATAAGAAAATGCTGTACTACAAAATTCTGCAAAAATTCTTAAAACTCTATGAGAAGAAAATAAACAATTTTTGTCGCTTGCTGTTTTTTTGAAAATTGACAATACTTCTTCAGTGTACAGTCTTCGTCAGCGAAGCTTCGATGCATAAAATGGCACCTTAAAACACTTGCAGCGCATTGGCGACCGACGGCTCAGAAAACTCAGAGGAGAATACTCGACTTCTTGGCTACTGTCGGTCGTTTTAACAAAATGCGAATGACGTAATTTTCCCTTTTCGATTTACTGAGAATGCCCAGTGGAGACAGAGCGCGTTCTATCTCCTTGTTCTCGCCTACTAAGTGAGAAACGATCGGAGCCGATCGGAAAGCGTATCGAGAGCACTCGATAGAGGCAAGGTACGCCTTACCCCGCATGTTCCGGTTTGGCATTAGAATCAGGATGATAGTAGCGTAGCGGATCGAAATATTAGCTACAACAGGATCTGGCTGGCACAGAGGATTGTCAGGAAAAAATAGCTTCGACGAGGAATACAATCTTTTATAATCATAAAATAATGTTTCTTCGTCGGAGCTCAGCAGCGCTTGGTTTTCTTCGCACAAGCTCCCTCACGAGTATGTCTTTCGGCGCTATTTTATGGGGACCAGGGGCTCGGCGATACTCGGTTGTGTTTGGGTTTCGTAGCCCGAACGCGAGTCTTCGTTGCGAACTGTCGTCACCTGTGAATTTTGTTTGAATTATTATCGAGCGCATCGCGCCCTCATCGGGGCATAATGCCGCGGCATCCGGCTTGGCGGGAGCTCGGGAATAATGCATTATCTGTTGGTGCACCGTTACAAGCAACAACAATTTTTTTAATAAAAATGTCATTGCATATTTGTAGAGAAGATAATCTTGAAGTTGCTGAGAGGGTCCTGAAGCATTTTCAGCCACTTGTCATATCGTCATGCCTAATGACGCACGAAATATCACTCGTATAATTAGTAAACTTTAATCGCTATTAATTTGAAAACTATTAATTTGAAAATTATTACAGCCTCGACATCTTCATATTAGGATTTTCGTTCTAGAATCAGTTTTTAAAAGGATAGGTCGTAGAACATCCTGTACATATGTAATTGTGACGAAATTTTATGATACAAAAATTTGATATTGCAGATGGAAGAATTTCACGCCCAAAGTTATCGTAACTCGTGACATAGTACAACGACCATCGGCACTTACCGTTGATTCCTGGAGAGATAACATTATCATAGCCTGTCCGGGATCAGGACGGATTGTCGTTCTCGACAGGAAGTTCAAACTTGTACGGAAGATTCGTCATCAGGAGATGATAGCACCTCAAGGAGTAGCCTTCTTGCAGAAACACGATGAAATATATGTGACAGGTATTGATATTTAATTTTTGAACAATAAGACAAATCGTCAGAACATGGCTTAAACTTTTAAAACTTGATTTATTAGTTTTTATTGATTCTTATCATTTTTCGTTTTTGCTATATCTTTATAACTTTTTCTGTTAAAAATGATTTAATGAAACAAAAACTAATATGTACATAAATAAATAAGAAATATAGGATTATTACAACAGTCAATAAGCAAATAAAAAGTTTACGATATAAACAGTAATTTATAGTGTACGAGTATGTATAAAAGAGAAAAGATAACAAATCACTTAAAAGTAATAGCTGGTTGTATAATCTTTAAAAATATCATACTTTATCTTTAAAAAATAAGACAAAAATGATAGTTTTATTTTTTAAAGTAAAAAACCACAAGAAACACTAGTAAATAACAGAAGTTTGATTAATGACCAATGCGTACTAATAAATAACCTACAATTTTTTTTTTTTAAAGAAAAAGAGTACGTAGGTTTTAGTAAATACATAGATATTTAGTTAAGTAAATGCTATTAGATTAATTATTTATTTTGTATTATTATTTTTTATTAATTATTTATTATTTATTTTGCATAAATATTAACAAAACATTTATTATTAAACAATCTTTAAAATATGTATTTTATAATTTTATTAGATTAGAATAAAAGCATAATCATACATTTAGTAATTATGCAGAATAGGACTTTTTGCGAATTTCGACATTTTTCGGTTGCAATGCTGATATTAATCTTCGTTGTGACTCAAATAATAAGTCAGAAAGGTTGAAAAATAAAAATAATTTTCTTTGAAAACATTACATATAGGGGCGTACGACTTCCACAGGAAACGACTCTCAACCCACCTCTCCCCTGCTGGTGATGCACGATTTTCACCAGAAGCAACTCTTACCTTCCCATCCTGCTTTGAGGGCGCACGATTTTCACCCGACTACTTCCTCTTCTACGCAAAGTCGGTTGAGTGGAAGTCGTGCGTCCCTAAGTAGAAGGGGGGAAAAGTGAGGTGGGAGTCGCTTCGAGTGAAAGTAGTGCGCTACCAAGCAGGGGGAGGAGATGGAGTGGCAATCGCTTCGTATGAAAAGTCGTGCGCCCTTATACGAGGAAATAAGGTAGATTAAATAATTTAGAAAATAGACTATATATTTTTCGACCACCCCCGACTTATTATCACTATTTGAGCCATAACAAAGATTATATTATCAACATTGCAGTCGAAAAATGTCGAAATTCGGGAAAGGTCCTATTCTGCATAATTATCATAAATTTGTTATTTTAATAATAATATAACCTTTTTATTTCTATAAGAATATACATTCGTCAACGTAACTTTTCCATTTTAACATTTATTTTTTACAAAAATATATAAGTAAATAATATTTATTCAATTAACTTAAAATTAATAAAACTTTTTTTTACTTAATATTATATATAGAAAACTGCACAAATAGTAATAAATTCTGTGGTATTACTTAATATAATAAACTAAGTCTTTACGTTTTTTAGATTTTTAATAAGAACTTTTGTTTTCTTTGTTTTGTTTTTTCCTTCTACTTTTCCTTTCCAATTTTCTCTTTTTCTTTTAATTTTCGATTTGCCAATTACTGCCTTTTCTTTTCTTCTTTCTGAGCCTATTGTTGTTCGGTAATTCTCTGTTTTATAATTTTTGTTTCCATTTTTTGATGTAATAGCAAAAGTATTTTCTTGTTTAACTTTTTTTTTATCAATCTTTTCTGTACGAGGAAAATGTAAATGCTCTTTCCATAGTTCTTCATATTGACATTCAACGTTTATTTCTTTTATGATCAAATGGGAATCTATTTCATTTCCAGTTTCTATAACATTTACAATAGATCATACACAAAAATTATTATATTCATATAAAAAAATTAATTTAAAAGTTATAAAAATATCTTTCAAAATATAATCAGAAGATGATTGCGTAGGAGAACTTGTTTGACATTTAATACTCATAGTAGATGGTGTTTTGGAAGAATTAATATTTTTTAAAATTTCTATTGTATCAAAACAGTCTTCTGTGTTAGCATAACAACCGCTAGTCTCGGGGAAGGAAAACTAGTTGCAGTAGTGATCCCCGGGGTGGGTGGGTCCCAATCACCACGACACAGCGCATCCTCGGGTTGCGGATAGAGGAAAAGCCTCGCTATCTCGGTTGAGGATAGAGGCTAGCTGCGAATAAATTGAATAAGCAGTCGCGGACAGCCGATTGGAATGGTCCTCCTGTTTGGGGGTTGGGCGTGGGTTTGATAGGCTCACACCGTGAAACGACTTTATCTTGAAACAATCAAAACTCGCCATGGATTCTTCTGGGGTAAAATTTTCCGGAGGTAAACTAGTCCCCCGTTCGGATCTCCGGGTGGGGACTACCTCGGGGAACTCATGTCGTATAAAGTCAAAACGCGGGAGAGACTTCAAAGTGGGTACGTGGAACGTCCGAAGTCTTTACAGACCTGGGGCGTTTCAATCGATGGTCGGGGAGGTCGAAAGGTACGGGGTAGAAGTTGTCGCGTTGCAAGAAACAAGATGGGCCGGGGAGGGTTCGCTTAATGCGGGTTCGTACACGCTTCACTATGGAGGGTCGGAGATCCATAGTCTTGGCATCGGTTTTATGATTAATAGGAAAATCTTATCCGCGGTAAAAGACATTAAATTTATAAACGAAAGATTAGGATTGCTCGTTGTGCAGGGCCGATGGTACAAGATCGCGATAATCAACGTACACGCGCCGACGGAAGATAAAGATGGCGAAATTAAAGACGGGTTCTACGAAGAACTCGAACACCTCGTGGATCAATTACCGAACGATTACATGAAAATAGTCGTGGGAGATTTTAACGCGAAAATCGGTAAAGAGGACATTTTTAGACCAACGATCGGGCTCGAAAGTTTGCACGAGGAAAGTAACGATAACGGAGTGAGGGTAATTAACTTTGCGACCGGCAAAAATCTTATCGTCAAAAGCACGTATTTTAAACACAAAAATATCCATAAACAAACTTGGATTTCCCCGGATGGAGGCACGCGTAACCAAATTGATCACGTTCTTGCAGATAAACGGCGTCACACGAACGTACTCGATGTCAGGTCTTATAGGGGGGCGGATTGCGACTCGGATCACCTCTTTGTAATTGCCAAAATCAGGGAACGTCTTTCGCTAAACAAAACTAACGGGCAGTTGTTTGGAACTAAACGTCTAAATGTACAAGGTTTGATCGAGGGAGAAAACGGAATAAAATACGCGGTCGAAGTAACGAATAGACTCGCGGCTTCAAAGGAAATAGATGAATCGGATGATAACACGGTTGATAAACACTGGGAAAACGTACGAGACGCGATAGTAAAATCGGCGGAGGCCACGGTTGGTTTTTGTAAAAGGAACAAAAACAAGCCGTGGTTTGACGAAGAATGCGTAAAAATTGTTAAAGTACGAAACGAAGCGCGCATCACGTGGTTGGCTCAAAATACGAAGGAAACTCGGGATCAGTTTCTTAAGATTAGGCAAGAGGCTCATAATATGTTTAAAATTAAGAAGCGTCAATACTTAAAACGTAAAATTGAAGAAATAGATGAAAATTGTAAAAGCAGTAACGTACGAGGCACGTACATGGGGATAAATAATTTTAGAAAGGGATTCCAAGCTAGGACGGAAATGGTGAAAGATGAGAACGATAATTTAGTTACGGATACAACGGCAGTTTTAAACACATGGAAAAATTATTTTGATCGGTTATTGAATGTCGAATCTGAAAACGACCGGGAAATAGAGAATTTTGAGTATCACACGGCTGAACCTAGGATTAACGAACCGACAATTTCAGAAGTAGAAAGCGCGATTAAAAAATTAAAAAATCACAAAGCACCGGGTAATGACTTGATTCCGGCGGAACTGATTAAATGGGGGGGAAGTAGATTGATAGAAGAAATTCAGAAATTAATTATCTTAATATGGAATAAAGAAGCATTGCCGGAACAATGGAAAGATTCAATTATAATCCCGATTTTCAAAAAGGGGGACAAAATGAGTTGTAATAATTACCGGGGTATCTCACTTTTACCTACATGCTATAAAATTCTGTCGAATATTTTATTAATGAGGCTTGTACCATATGCAGATGAGATAATTGGAGATCATCAATGCGGCTTTAGGAGAAATAGATCGACTGCGGACCAAATCTTTACTATTCGGCAAATCTTGGAGAAAAAATGGGAATTCGACCAATCGGTACATCAACTTTACATTGATTTTAAAAAAGCGTATGATTCGATAAAACGGGAGAAAATGTATGAAATTTTAACTCGGTGGGGGATACCCAAAAAATTGGCTAACTTAGTCCAAGTTTGTTTAAAAGATACCAGAGGTAGAGTAAGAATAGGTAATCAAATGTCGGAAACTTTTAATATTCATAGCGGATTAAAGCAGGGGGATGCATTGTCACCTCTTCTGTTTAATCTAGTATTGGAATATGCTATTAAAGAAATGCAGAAGAGTAATGATGGTTTGCAGTTGAACGGTACAACACAAATATTAACATATGCGGACGATATTGCTTTGTTGGGGGATAATAAAGAAACACTAATAAATAACACTAAAATTCTATTAGATAAAACGAAAGAACTGGGGCTGCAAATAAACGTTGAAAAAACTAAATATATGGTCACTGATAGAATCCAGAATATTCATAATAACGGAAACCTGGTCGTCTGTGATAAAATTTTTGAACGGGTTAGCAATTTTAAGTATTTAGGATCGATTTTAAACCAAACTAATGAAATAAGAGAAGAGCTCAAGAGAAGAATTAATTTGGGGAATGCGTGCTTCTATTCGGTTAAGAAACTACTCGGTTCGCGGATATTGTCTAGGCGCTTAAAAATTAGAATTTACAGAACGATTATTTTACCGGTAGTCCTTTATGGCAGCGAAGCGTGGTCACTTACATTACAAGACGAGAAAAGATTTAGGGCTTTCGAAAA